CTCTCCCCCCCTGTCTCTGTCAATATAAATAAAAAAAAAAAATTAAAAAAAAAAATTCTTAAAAAAAAAAAAAAAAAAAAAGAACTAGAAGGGTCAGAACTAGGGTAGATAGAACTAGGCAAAGGGACTGAGGCCCACGCAGGCCTAGAAAAGACTGGGTGAGGCACCATGTTGTCTCTTAATATTGTCATTAGCAAGGAGACAGTGAGTGGTGTGGTGGCTGAGGCACTGGACTCCCACTTGGCCGACTATGGTTTTAGCCCCAGACCTGGTGGCTTGCTTTCTCACTTCCCCTTTCTCTCTGTCAAATTAAAAAATAATAATAAATACGGTACAAAAAATAATTCCGTAAAAAACAGCAAAAGGAAGCAGACTTCTCGAAGACAGAGCTACAGCTATAAGTGAGCAGTGTGGGAAGGCACTTTGGGTGTTACCCAAGGAAAAATTTCTGAACTTTCAGAGTTGTCTGAGGGCAGAATGTAGCAAGGCCCTGTCACAGGCTGTGCTCAGGCTAGGGTGCTGGGCCATCTCTCTGTCAAAGACAGTGCTGAAGGGACTCCAGCAGCTGCTAGGAGGCTGAACCTCGTGAATTCTGAGTCTAAACCCACACTGACTCATAAGGAATATCCCAGATCCTCGGGATACCAGCACCAAGCCTCACTGTGAGCTACTGTCCCTCAGAGTGGTCATCTTGCTGTCCTTACCTAGTAAGTGCCACCAACCTAGAAGTAGTGGAAGCAGTGCTGGTTGACCACTGACCCAGAGCTGCAGAGAGCCAGACCAGAAGCTGGGATGGGAGAGACTTGGCAAGGCCAGCAAGTACATCTTCTGCCTTTTATTTTTTTAAACCAACACTTACTGAGTGCTGTTGTGTATTCGCCCCCACCCCCCACATACACACCCAGGAGCTGCTCAGGGCGTAAACCAGATGGGGAGGTCCCGGTCTGCATTCTAGGCATGAGAAGACAGACCGACAAGAAACATGCGAGAAGAGAGAACGTGATAGAATTAAACGGGTGCATGGGACAAGAGCGCTGTTCTAAAGGGGGAGACTCCGTATCACAGAAGGCCTCTCTAAGCAGGTGACATTTCATTGGTGCCCTTGAATGACATCATCACAAACCAAAGACAGTGAGGACATCTAATCACTGCCACTGCCGCGGTGTCACTCTTAGGGGCGTCAACTCTCAGGGGCGCTCGTCTTTGTCTCCGCTGATGCCACGCCACTCCCTTCTCTCCCTTCCTCTCTTGGCCAGAAACCTCCGTGGAATCCCACAAGAAGCAGCCCTAAGATGCCGTGAATTTCCCGTAGGAACATGGGCCGCTGAAGGGAGTTGTGGGGCACTGCTCCAGAGATAAACGATCTGTGAGATGCGAGTAAGAGCAGCGCCTACTTCAACGGGTCTTTGTGAGCATTCAGTCAATGCACTCAAGACACACAGTAAGCCTGACACACAGTAAGTGCTCAATAAGCGACAATTGCTCCAATAAAGGTCAACCGTCTTGCTTTGGACTCTGCAGAGGCCAGGCCTTCTCCCGGCGCCTCAGTTTCTCCCACCGTCCTCGCTGGCTGCCGTTCTGGGTTCGTCTGGGGTCACAATCTCCGGGCAGCTCCGGCGGGGAATTTTACAGCTAGGAATCCCAGCAGGGCGAGCCGGGGAGTCCGCTGCTCCCAACCTGCGCCTCAGGCGAGCCCCGCCCCACCCCCGCCGCCTCGGTGGCTATGCCCCCTGCCTGTGTCCCCGCCTCCGCCTCGTCCCCACCAACCCCCTGGGGCGACCGGGCCACTGTGCTCCTTTAAGGCAAAGAGAGGGCCAAGAAGAGCGGGTTTCACCCCCTCCGACGCCGCCGAGGTAGCGGCTTCACCTTTAAGGCGGCGCAGGGACTGCTGGGAAGGCCGGCGGGATGGAGGCGGCGGGACCGGCTCACT